ATGCATCCCAATGTATCCCTATGTGTTTTATGGGCTACAGTTCTCACGTGCGCAGTCCGTTCAGGTTACGACTGTAACAAATACTGCATGTCACATTTTGTCCGGTCAGGAAACGGACCGGAAACGCAAAACGCGTCAAACGCACTGCACTGCAGCTAACATACTGACAGCCCCACTCCAGCAAAAAAAATTATATATATATTTTTTAACTGGAACGCAGCCAAAATGCGGCAAAAACGCACTGCATCAGTAGCACCGCGTCTGCAGATCCGCACCTGATATCATGTGAACAGGCCCTCAATGTATGATTTTGTTTTTATAAATAAAGGGATGCACCGATACCATTTTTGCAAGTACAAGTACTGATACGCTTTTGTTTATTGTCATGTGACAGTTTTTCTAAAACAATACAGACTAATGATTTCAGGACAGTGGTAGAGCGCCAGAGCCAGGTCCCAGCTGCAACTTCTGCAACCCTGGTAGTTCTATTGAAAATGCCACACATCGGCACTGGCATCTGAAAAGTATCGGTGCATCCCTAATAAATACCTAAATTAGGGCTGCAGCTAACGATTATTTCGCCGATTAATGAGTTCGATTAATCGGATAAAAAAAAGGCTCCACTGATGGACTACTAGTTTGTATTGAGATTGTAGTCCATCACGGGAGCAAGCTTGGCGCGGTGGAAGTAAAAAAAAAAAGTGTGGTGTGCAATATAGTACATTATACAGCGTCGCAATGCAGAATACCAGCAGCTATAGAGGAATACAGCAAATGCCAGCAATAGTACATTATACTATAATGTACTATTGCTGGGATTTATAGTCGTCTGTAGCTGGCGTTATTCTGTATTGCCCTGTATATAATGTATTATTGCTGGGATTTGTAGTCCTCTATAGCTGGTGGTAATCTGCAGTGCGCCGTACAATGATTTATACGGCGCACTGCAGAATACCACCAGCTTTAGAGGAATACAACAAATGCCAGCAATAGTACATTATACTATAATGTACTATTGCTGGGATTTGTAGTCCTCTGTAGCTGCTGGTATTCTGCATTGCACTGTTTAATATGTATTATTGCTGGGATCTGATGTATTCCTCTATAGATGGTGTTATTTTCCATTGCGCTGTATGATTTATTATTGCTGGGATTTGTAGTCCTCTATAGCTGGTGGTAATCTGCAGTGCGCTGTATAATGTATTATTGCTGGGATTTGTAGTCCTCTATAGCTGGTGGTAATCTGCAGTGCGCCGTACAATGATTTATACGGCGCACTGCAGAATACCACCAGCTTTAGAGGAATACAACAAATGCCAGCAATAGTACATTATACTATAATGTACTATTGCTGGGATGTGTTGTTCCTCCTATAGCTGGTTGTATTCTGTAGTGTGTCGCTGTATGTGTGTATATATATATATATACACACACACACACACACACACACACACACACACACACACATTGGTATTCTGCATTGTTTTGTACATGGTACTCTGCATTGTATAATATAGCGGCACAATGTGTGCGGTGGGCGTGGCGCTCAGGCTTAACTGGCGTGAACGGTGAGCGGGAAATTTACATTTTAGCCGACGACGTTAACATTTTCCATCGTCGATTTGAATCGACTAAATCGTTGTTGCAGCTCTACTAAAAACACCACATATATCTTTAACCCCTTCATGACTGAGTTTTTTTTTTCCAGTTTCTGTTCATTAATGACTGAAGCACTTTTTACATTTTTGCTGTGTGATTTCTTTCATGGCAGTAATATACTTTCTTACCAAGTGCAAGTGCATATAGTGTTGTTTTTTTTAGAGGACAGATCGGTCTATATTTTTTTAAAATCACATATGTGCACCTAACGCCTCACTTAGTATGAATAACTAACATATTTAAAACAAAGAAAACACTCTTTCCCCAGCTTTGATTATTATTAATTTTTTTTTTTTTTAAATAGCACAGCTAAAAAAAAGCATTATCATAAATTCATTTGTCCTTTATTTGGAAACGCATCCCTAGGATTTCAGAAATTTGTCTGTACTTGGCCTAAAACTAAAAGCTAACTTTTTTTTGTTTTTCCTCTAAAAATTAATAGTGGTTAGGTTAGGTGGCCTACAATGTCACTGTCATTAAGTGTCCATAACTGTCACACTTCAGGGCAGCTACATACTTTAAACAATGCCGTCATGAGGGGGTTAAATTTTAAAAAGTTAACCACTTGGGGTGAAAAACAATTTTTATTGTAAGGGGTTAATTTTTGTAAATTTATCGTATAAAAATATATAATTTTTATTTTGTTAACTTTGTTTTTTACACTTTTTTTCTTTTTTGTCACTATGACTGCTTGATTATGTAATCATTTTTTTATTTTTTTTTGGTAATTAGTCTGCTCCAAACTTGGGAACAGCCAATAATAACCTTAGTGACTGATCATGGCAGCATTTCAGGCTCAGATCTCCCTAAGGCTGGGGTTCACACCAAGGCGATTGAGCTGGTGAGCTGCTTTCGCGTGGTTGTCGCGCGTTTTTGTTTGTGCGGTTTAGAGAGGTCTATGAGACCCAAACCAGGTGACAACCACCTGAGAATAGCTACTGCACCTTTTTGCGCAACAGGCGATTTTTTAAGGGCGACAAATCACAAAGGTGTGAACAGCTTCCATAGACTTGAATGCAAATCTGTTTTGCGCAAGATCGCGCGGCTAAATCCGTGCGATAAATCGCCTAGGTGTGAACCTAGCCTAAAGGCTTCTGATCATTCCAAGACGATCAGAAGCCTTGATACATTTCCGCAAAGAAATACGTTATGTAATTCTGTGCTGAAGAATGTAACAAACAGGAGATACAGGTGTGCACGCCGCTCTATTATTTCAGTTTTGAAAGCTCTGTAGAGATGGGGACTTCCCGATGTGTACAGGCTGTACACACCATTCTGCTATTTCAGCTGTCAAATACCGGATTGCTAACAGTGATCCGTTATTTGTAACAGCTTAATTCTTTCATTTATAAAAGAAAAAAGCTTTTACAAAAGCTTAACTCTTTCATTAATGGATGCCTTAAATACTGAAGCATCCATCAATGAAGGTAACTGCTGATTCTTAGCAGTTACCGGCATTTTAAAGAACTAAATAGCTGCTCACGTACAGTGTACTTCACGATGGAAATGTAGAGTATACATCTCCAGTCGTGAAGGGGTTAAAGAAGAATTTGCAGAATTACAACCCTAACCCTTGCAGTGGGGTATTGACTTGCATCTAAATGTGAGGACACCGAAGGTCATTCCACTGCAGAGGGGGAGAGGAGAGCACTGACTGTCGCAGGACCGAGGATCTGAGTGTATCACCTGAGTGTATCTCCTTTTTTTGTGCCCCAAAAAGAGCGCTCCACTGTAAGGGTAAGTTTTATAAAATCCCAGAGTTCTTCTTTAACCAATAAAAACCAACTTCCTTCTATATTGTACAAATAGTAGGGTCAGATCACTGGATGATAAAACCTCACTGTTGGTCTGTGTATGCTTGTTTTATTATGCTCAAGCAATCTCTTTCCTTTAACAAGATTCTATAATAATCTATAATAATATTTTGAATATTTTCATAAGAGTATCAGTATAATTCCTCGGTCCCACTCACAGGGTATTTCAGACTCGCAGATCCATATTAGGATACACAGAATTGTCTGAGCAAAAAATCCCAACCATAGTTGGAACCAGGGATAGGCATGGACCAAGGTTGAGGCAGGGATTTTCCCAAGGACAGATCTTAGTAAAGGACACCAAGGTACATTTCAAATTAAAAACATCAAAAAACACTCTGCCCAGTGTCTGGCCTAGTTCCACAAGTACAAATAAGTTTAAAATAACATTTATATAAAGACTGCTTGTGGTACATGGTTATACAATGTTTATAAGATTTTCAAAATTCTTACACGTAATACACACAGTAAACACAGTACACATATTGCACACACAGTATACACTACTTACATTTGTTGTACATCTCTATTCAGCCCGTCCACAGTCCACTATGAGCAGCCCGAGGAGAGGAGTAGGAGGCAGTGGGTCCCTAATAGGAACAGTCCCTGCTCCTGGTGACGCTGGAACGGCCCTATTCATCCCTTAGGGGAGGAGGCAGTGCCCAAACAGTCAGCCGGTGTCTGCAAGCATGCAAATGTAGCAGGGAGGGGGAGAGAGTGAGGGTGCAAGCAGCCCAACTAATCGAGCGACCAAATTATCGGTAGTGCAAATCGTTACTGATTCATTATTGATTATGATCAACTTTATCGATTTTAGTTGTTTCAGCCCTAGGCGGCAGACCCTGCAAGGTCCACTCACGGACACAAGTGTCTGTTTACGGACACCTTGCCAATCCCTGATTGGAACTGCAATCTTACCAACTCCAATCCCAGGTGGTAGTTGATTAGACTGGTTCTAATACCTCTGGTTTGTTCTGCTGCAAATGCTGAACAAAGCTCAGAGCTCTCTGCCCCAGTGATGTTACTTGGTTGCCGGATTACTTTGACACATTGTGACAGCAACTACTGTCTTTGTCAGGGTCCATGAGTAACATATGAAATGTTTTGTATGTTTTCAGGATGAACTCAAAATTGGGTTTACATTATAATTAGTAATTTTGTTTGGTTTTTATGATGGATAGGATAGGTGGCCTACAATGCAATGCAATGAATTTTGCATATTCATTAGCAGCTGGCATATTATATGTAACTGTCAGATTTTTCCAAGAAGCACCTGAGGAGTTGAGTATCTTAATACCGACTAATAGCCATACCAATCTACAGCTTGATAGTTGTTCTAAACTCTGCTGTAACTCCCAATTTAAAGCCTAGAGCTTTCCAGGCAGTTTATATAACACATGGACTGCTACTGAATGATATTACTGATTGGCCTTGACCTTTTTCAGGAAGTACAGTTATCCCTGCATGATATGAAACATTTCACTGAAACTTGAGTTTAAATTGGTTTACCATAATTTTGTCTTTCAGAGAATTGGAAATGCTCCGAATCTGACTGAAGATGATGTTGAATGAAATGGAACCAAATCATGTTACTTCAGTAGTTGCTTGAACTGCAACATTATGTGCTACTGTTAAATACCATTTTTTTCTGTCCTGTTAATACATATTTGTTACCAGTATATTAATGTACAAGAAATAAACATCCAAAATAGAAAACAAAAGTCTATGCGGGGTATGGGTGGAGTAGCAAAAAAGTGTCAGTTAAAAGTAGTTTGATATAATACTGTGTATTGCTTTACAAAGACTAGTTAGGATTCTAAAATTAATATAGTTCCCAAATCTAATTTGCTGTGAAACAGGTAGTGAAGGAGAGATACAAAATGTCACATTAGTGTATTAGTCTATCAAAGAGCAATGTACAGCAAGCTTTTCCTGGCACCATGGGTTTGTGTCATTTAGAACATGGTGTTTCCCCAAACATTCACTCCTCCTATCCTTGCACAATCCACATGTGCCCTGATACGTTCCATAGTGACTGGATTAAGGTCACCATGGACCACGGTGGCTGGATTAACTTTGTGGCTATAAATGCTCAGGTATGTTCCAGACATATTAGGACTCAAGAAGCTGCTTTGATGAAAACTATTGCTAGCAATATCATCTATATTAATTAATCATCTGTGCCATATAATAATTATCGATATTACCCTCGCTCATTGACTTATTGGATCAACCTAGAAAAACCATCGCCTTATTGAGAATAAAGTCGCCACGGAAGTTACATAAATAGACCAAGGGAAGCTGTCAACACACTCACACTCTCTCTCCTGTACACACTCACTGCTGAAATTGCATTCTTAGTGGCCAAATGAATGTTTTTTTAATACACATAGGGACATTTTTTATTTAGTAGCATGCTAGATTGTGTCAATGTTTTTAATCAGCTGAAATACCACAGTTTTGCTTCAATATAAGCAATTAATTTGATGAATATTTTCACTTGTAAATGCTTGTAACCCAAGCATCAACTTTTCTGAAAGGAGCTGCTACACACACTTAATTGGGGGCATTTGGATCTTTTTCACTTACAATAGAATTTCAACAGTCAGTTTTGAAACGTGTTTATATGGAAATTCTTGCTTGTTGTTGTCTATGAGACAACTGATACAATTGTAGCAATAAACAGTCACACAGCCTCTTATTTTCACTCCTGACTGCCAGTATCCGTGATAAGGATTCATTGGCCTTGTGCTTTCAAATCACTCTAAATACCTCCTAAACCGATATACCTATCGCCACATAAGATGTTTCCTGGTGTTGTGATAAAGTCAGGGCTTATTAGCCGCAGTCTTGCTCTACACACATCTATGGCAGTGGCAGTTCAAACGCTTAGCAGACAGATGTGCATTGTTACTCACTGATCTTCTTTAAGAGCATCTTCCCTGGTGGTATTTTTTTTTTTTAAATATTCAATTTTTATTGAAGTATAAAATTATGAAGACAAAACCAAAACCTTTTCAGATGCAGGCAACAAGTCATAAGACAAACACATTTCTCTGCTACTCAACCTACTAGAAAGGTTGCCTTACTCGTGCACCTGAACCGTAGAGAAACAGATTGAAAGAACGATCAGACTGGAAAGAAGAGGGAAAATTAGTGTGAAGAAAGTTCCGGGGGGTATTCGTGCGGAACCCCATACAATCTAGACAATATTACCTTTTTTTGTAAAAGGCTGTATCTGCAGGTTTTAGGGTCTCTAATGCCCTGGGAAACAGCTTATAGGTTAACATCGTTGCGCCATGCATATTAATTATTATTATATATATGCAGGAATTCCGGTGTGGTAGTTAATTAACCGACCAGCTGTACTTACAAGGGGGTGGCTTTGAAAGCAGTCCAGGTGGACCATATAATTTCAAACAGTTGTGCGTTCCTGTCTCGCCAGGGTGAGTTCCTCCATTAGACATAAATAGACCACTTTATGTATCCATTCTGTGGTTGAAGGTATCGTGGAGGTGTTCCAATATTTAGGGATGTGGAACTTTGCAGCGTTCAGTAGGTGCGGCAACAGGGATTTCCTGTACCTTGCGGGCGGTGTATCTGACAGGTGGAGTAAACATGCCCAAGAATCAATAGGAGGAGGTTGCCCTGTTATAGAGGCGATGAGGTGGACAAAACCACCATATATGACCATGGGTGCCTGCGATGCCGCATCCCCTCCAGCATTCTGAAGAATGGGACGGGTGTATTGCGTGAAGGCGGTCCGGTGTATAGTACCACCTCGCGAGCAACTTTAATGAGGCCTCTACTACATCAGTGCTAATGGAGGATGAAGAGTTGAGGCTGAGTAGACGCTTTTTCTGAGGTCCAGTCAGGGTGGTGCCCAGATCTGCCTCCCAGTGTGATATATATAGCGGATCTTGGAGCGTCCAAGAAGAGAGTAATATTTTATAGATTTGCGACAGGCCATGTGATGGAGCTTCAGATTGCTACAGCATGGTCTCCAGCAGATGTAGATTTTTGAAAGGTCTTAACGGTTTGGGGAGAGAGGAGACGAAGTGGTGTAGCTGGCAGTATTTGTTGCAGTGTAATAAGGCCAGAGTTTTGTATAACCTTGTGTAGCTTAAGAGATTTAGTGATAGACCAGTAATGTAGGCCATTGTCCAAGTGGCCAGGGGGACAAAATGAGTGGCCCAACAGAGGTAATAAAGGGGAGTTGTAGGGACCCAATAGTTGAGAATATATTTTAGACCAGATATAGTTAGAGTGTCAGAGGGGAAGTGGAGCTCCGAAGCTCTCTATAATCCGGTGGGATCCAACATATCGTCGATAAAGGCTGGCCAGCCAAGGAGAATTCCAAATCAACCCACCGTTTACACCCCAGCTGAATGGTCCAATCCTCTGTTGAGGGCGACAGCATAGCAATACAAAGTAAAGTCTGGAAGAGCCAGACCACCTTCCTGTCTGGTTCTGATAAGAGTCTGGCGAGAGATCCAAGCTCTGGAACGATTCCAGATATATTTGTCAACCACTTTACGTAGAGTCCTAAAGTAGCATTCTGGTAGGGGGATAGGCAACGTTTGCAGCAGATATAACACCCTCTGCAGTACATTCATTTTAATAGTGTTGATCCTACCCGTCAAGTTGAGGTATGGTCGATCATTAGTCCATCGAGAGCTCTGATTTTATACTATTCAGTCTGGGAATAGTTACACTGTATCAAGTCTGAAAATTTAGGAATCAAGTATATACCCAAGTCTTTCAGCTTACAGCGTTTCCACGTGAACGGTAAGGAGCAGCGTAAGTGTTGGCATTCCAAAGGAGAAGCCGTGAGATTCAGTATTTCAGATTTGTGTAGATTCATGATAAAATTTGAGACTAGGCCGAATTGTTCAAATTCCTTGAGGAGGTTGGGGAATGTAATTCTGGGCTTTCTCACAAAAAAGAGAATGTCATCGGCATATGCCGCTATTTTATGTTCATGACCTTCCACTTCGATACCTCTGATGTTTACATTGTTCCTGATGGAGATGAGCATGGGTTCCAAAGTTAGTGCAAATAAAAGAGGTGATAAGGGGCAGCCCTGGCGGGTGCCATTGTAAAGTTCAAAGGCTTGGGATAGGTTGCAATTAACCTTATTAACGTGGGTTTCTGATAAAGGGTCTTAATTGAGTGTAGCATTCTAGGGCCGAACCCGATGTGTTCAAGCGTGGCTATTAGGAAATCACAGTCGACTCTATCGAACGCTTTTTCGGCGTCGGTAGAAAGGATCATAGTCGATAGGGTTGATGCGGAGGCGTGATTGACCAGTGTCAGTGCTCGTTGCGTGTTATCTCTGGCCTCTCTGCCCGGCATGAATCCAGTCTGGTCGGCTGAGATAAGGTGGGGTAGCAGTGGTGCCAGGCGATTGGCTAAGACTTTAGCATACAATTTGATGTCAACATTTAGAAAAGAAATAGGCTTGTAGCTGCTACATACACATGGATCCTTTAGGGTTTGGGTTTAGGGAAGACTGAGATATGGGCGTGTAGTGTGGCTGGTCTGGAGGTATTCCTGTGGGCAAAGTGTTTAGGTATGTGCATAGTTGGGGTACAAGTATAGTTTGGAAGGTTTTATAGTATTTTAATGAGAACCCATCGGGGCCGGGGCTTTTCCCCGTCGGAGAAGTAGTTATGGCCACGTTGAGTTCTTGTTCAGATATTGGGGCTTTCTAGAGAAATCAAGGTCGTCTGGTCAATTTGGGGAAAGGGAAGATTAGTCACGTAAGAGCAAATTAGGTCATCATGTCGTTTTTTGAGTTGTTCAGAGGGGTCATGTCTAACGTTATAAAATTCCCTAAAGGTTTGGGATATCTCTTTAGTGGAAAATGTAATGGTATCCGTCGCGGTCTTGATTTTAGGGATAAAGCCAGCATTCTGATGAACCCGTAGGAGACGGGCCAAGCGTCTGCCAGGTTTACTTCCGAATTCGTAAGTTGGTTGGGAGAGATAATTCAGAGATCTAGTGTATTTAGTTTGTAAGACCTTACGTAAGCTTCAGAGAGTTCCGGGTGAAGGGCATCTGCCAAGGACTGTTTGTGTGCTCGCTCTAGGGTAGTTATCTTATGGGTCAGCTCCGTAATTTTATAGGTACGCTCCTTTTTCTTATGTGAGCCATGGGATATACGTTTCCTCCGTATCATTGCCTTATGGGCTTCCCAGAGTATCCCAGGAGATATAGACTCCATCTTATTCTCACATAAATAGAATGTGAGGTCATTTTTTATAGCTGACTCGACTATTGAATCAGCAAGTAGCTGTTCATAAGTCTCCACGTATACGGAGGTCTGATCTCTCCAGGCGGACAGATATAGGGGCATGATCTGACAACGTGGCCGTATGTATTTTAGCATCAAAAAGGAGATCCAGGTATCTGTGTTCCATAAATATATAGTCTATGCGAGAATACTGTATAGTCTTTATCGGGTGGGTGTAGTATACGCCAAGTGTCCATAAGCTGGAGTTTGTGAAGATGTGACTTAAGGTTAGAGATTTGTCTATGGGCGATATGCGATCGGCCAGATGAGTAGTCTAGGGACAGGTTCATATGGACATTAAGGTCCCCAGCGAGTATCGTTATACCCACCTGGAACTCTGCAAGGGAGTTTAATATATGATTTAGGAATTAAATCTGAGATTGATTTGGTCCGTATATATTCGCCAGGGTGTA